GTTCAACTCCGTCTGTTTTTGCGCCTAGATTTTTCCAAAAGCCTTCCGGGCCCCTACGCCGCCAGTGCCGAGAGCAAAGCTCCGCCCCGGCCCGACGGGGAGGAACTTGCCAAACAATTGGTAGTGCTTTTTAAACTGTTGGATTGAGTTGCAAACTAACACCGCGACGTGCGTTAGGCACAAAGTTTCAACTCGTGTTTACGCATGTGCCGTGCCCGCTCACCGCTGCGCGGAGCCGCTCTGGAAAGTTCTGGCCGGAAGGCCGCCTCGATTCCCCTCCTTTTTGCCTTTGGTGCGCCGCAGGGTGGTGTTTACAGATAGGTCTTGTGCGCTGGTTCTGCTCCCACCTTCTGGTGTGGTTTTAGTATGTGCACAGGAGACACAGGAGGCAGCGTTCATCACTGCGTTCAGGTGGCTTAGGGCTGGATCTAATAGAGCTATACGACCAGCGGTCAGAATTAGTATAATAATTCACACATACACTGCAGAAAAAGAAACTTTTGGCCAACATTATAGTCAATGTAAAGTTTTGAGCATTACTGTCTGAGATTAGGAATAAAACAACAATGCCCAACACCACCACTTCTGTTCAACATTATTCTAAAAGTTCTAGCCAGAGCAATAAGACAAGAAAAATGAATAAGATGGATAGAGATTGTAAAGGAAGGAGTAAAACCATCTTTATTTGCAGATTGTATGATTGTATATACGGAAAGTACAAAATAATCTACAAGCACATTATTAGAATTAATAACTGAATTTAGCAAGGTCATTGAATGAATAAACAAATCAATTTTATTTCTGTATAGTAACTGCAATAGTTTTTTTAAAAAATGTTATTGGCCCTGCCAGGCGTGGCTCAGTGATTGAACTTTGACCTAGGATCCAGGAGCTCTCGGTTTGATTCCTGGTCAGGGCACATGCCTGGGGGTGTGCAGGAGGCAGCCAATTGATGACTCATCATTGGTGTTTCTGTCTCTCCCTCTCCCTCTCCCATTGTCTCTCTGAAATCAATCAAGATATAAAAAAAATGTTACTGATTTCAGAGCGAGATGGGAGAGGGAGAGAGAGATAGAAATATCAATGATGAGAGAGAATCATTGATCGGCTGCCTCCTGCACACTCATACTGGGATAGAGCCTACAATGTGGGCATGTACCCTGACTGGGAATCCAACCATGATCTCCTGGTTCATGAGTCGACTCTCAACCACTGAGCCATGCAGACAGGACTACAATAGTTTTTACAACATTTTAGTTTGGGAAAATTTTAGATTTGCAGCCAGGTTGCAAACAGCACAGAGTTCCTGTGCTTTCCTCCCGTGAACATTGCAGATGACCATGGTAGCTTTGTCAGAGCTGAGAAATTAACATCAGTATAGCCCTATTGACTAAATCACAGGCTTTATTTGGGTCGCACCAGGTTTTCCATCAATGTCCTTTTCTGTCCCAAGGTGTCCTTAGTCTCCTCTAACACTTTATGCCCTAAACTCTGTGAGCTCTTGGCCTTCCACCCCTATCTTTGTGGTGTCCACCAATCCCAAACTCTTCCGTGAGTACCCTGCCTAGTCTGGCACTGGTGAGGTTGTGCCCTGGGAGCGTTCCACCACTGTCCTGCCCGCACGAAGGTGCAGTGAGGTTTGGGTGCCTGTGTGTGCATGGGCTTCCCAGGTGGGAGTGGCTGGGGCTCGGCAGTTTGTGGCAGAGCAGCTTTGGGTGGTGGCACTGGGAGGCCTTAAGGACTCAGTTATTTTGGGTGGTTTGTAGTCTTGTCCAGAGGCAGGTATTTACTGCAGAATGAGTTTGCTCTTCATAGACCTTCATGCTGTAGGGGGCCTGCATGAGAAAGGAGTTGGCTGACCTGCCTTTCTCTGTGCCATCCTAGGACTTGGCTGTGGCCCAAGCACCCCTTGACCCTTACCCCTTCATGAGCACCCTGATTGTCTCCATCTGTCCATGAAGGAGACCTCATCCTGACCTACAGAGCAAGTGTCACTTTAGGGACAAACAAAATGAGCCACAGGGAAGCTGTCTTGGTAGAAATGATTTTATTTAGAAACCTGTGCTACATGACATGGGGGCGCCATGCAAACGTCGTGCTTAAGCCAAAAGCCCGTCAGTTCCCCTGAATAAATTGTTACAATTGGAATGTTTATTTGTGCTGGACACTAATTTTGCTTCAGGCTTTGTGACACTATCTTGTTAAATTCAAAACCTGAAAATGTAAGAGTTGATTGGCAGAACATAATCCTCATATAAAAGCCTAAAAAAAAATACAAATAAAGCCACATTTGCATGGCCACAGATGCCGAGTCCCCTGTATTCCATTTAAGCAGGACCTGGGTGTCTGAAATGAACTTATGTGGGAAAACACATCTTGATATTGAAAGAGCAGCGTTTTATCACTAGTAATAGTTTTCCTAGAAATATAGCTGGTTGCTCTCAAGAATTACTAATTCTAAAACTCAGAAGAGCTATAGTGGGTCTTGCAGTGACTTGTAATGGACAAACGTGGGTGCCTGGGATGGTGCCAGGGGGTATGGCCTCCTGTGGTGGGGAAGAGTCCCTGTGTGGGGTGTGATAGCAGGCCCCCTCAGAGGGCATCCCCCACTCACAGAGCTGTGCTCAGCACCAGCCACCTGGAAACAGCCTTGAAGAGCTTGGCACCATTGAGGCAGCAAACTTCATTTCCTTGCTGGTTCTGACAAATTGCTGGTGACAGCAAGCTGTGGGAGCCCAGGTGTGTGTGTGTGTGTGTGTGGCATGCACGGCTGCTGAAGGCAGGTGGGCAGCGGCCGCAGCCCAGGGGTCCCCAGGCCACAAGACAGGCTTGTGACCTCTCAGGGCCCCTGAGGCTGCCTCTGCTTTGGAGCTGTTGTGTCCTACGTGCTTTGCTAAGCAGAGACTTCGCCAGGGCGTTACCTGTCCCACCAGGAGCTGTTCTAAGTGGTGGGGGTAGCAGGCATGTGGGGCCACAGGGTACTTGGGGAGGCTGCCAGTGTGGAGCGGCTAGGCGCTTGCCAGCAACAGGAGGCCGGTTGGGATGGGTGGCAGGAAGGGCTGTAGGGCCTGGGACCCTCACTCGGCTGGGACAGGGTGAGCCAGAAATTGGTGTGGGGAAGGTCTGGGGGGGTGGGGGTGTGAACCAGGTTGGGGCTGGGGCCACTGGGAAGCATTAGGGGCCCCAATGGAAGGGTTCAGAACCCCTTGGAACCTGTGATTGGTGTGGGAGTCAGAGGTCAATCTTGGTCTTTGCTGCTGGGCACATGGAGGCCAGACCCATGAAGTGGGCAACTGAGTTAAAATCTGAG